AAATGTTTTTCTTTTATTTTTTTCTCTTTTTTCTGAATATTGATTCCGGTATGTGTGTATTTAGTTATAAAAAGTATTTTTATTAACTCTTTATTTTAACTATTAAATAAATACTCTAATTCAAAATTGTTAAAAGTGATAAGAAATAATAAAAATATATATACACTCATTAATCATATGTGACTATTGGAATTCAGAAATTAATCATATTTAAAAACAAACACGTTCCTTCCCAAAAAAACTTTGTTTAAAAAGGGAAAGGAAAAAAATGTACCATTTTTTGTTTTTAAAACATACATCTATCCAACTTCAGACATTTTCTCTATTTCCAAATATTTTTTGTTATTTTAAATTTAGAAATTTTATTAACGTATATATCAACTATATATAATGGTTTAAAATACCCCTAGAAAGGTTAAAACAAAAAAAGTTGATTAAAGCATAATGAATCATGCCTCATAAATAATATAGATTATAAATGTGTATATATTATAAATGTGTATATATTATATATGACCTAATATTTTATGAAAAAAGTTGAGGAAAACCAAAAAAACAAGTTTTTAATCCGATTAAAAGTGAAATGTTACCTTTGGAATTTTCAACCTTAAATTTTATTAAAACTGTATTATTTTTATTTTGATACTTAAAATCTCCAACCAAGTATTTTTTAACTCTTCTTTCTTTTCACTTTAAATTAAATCCAATTTCATTAAAAAGTATTAATGGACATTAATTACTTGAATTTCATTTCATGTTTTTAATGGTGTCATTAAAAGTGGACTACAAAACGTGTACAAACTCTTGGAATATTTAACCTTAAATTTGATTAAAAGTTTATTATTTTTATATTTAATGCAAAACTTTTGTAATTCTTGAAATTTTCAAACTTTAATAGTATTTGATGTCTCTTAAAATTTTGAACAATAACTTAAAAGTCTATTATATAAATAGAGGTAAAAATTACAAGATTAAGCTCCAATATTAAGGGTGTAGCAAGATTAGATGTTAACAAGAGCATTACAAGTAGGGATCATAAGAAGAAGAAGTATCAATGAGCATATTTCATCAATTAGCTTTGGTAGTGAGGATGAGAATTCATGCGCGACAAATCAAAAGCATCAATTAGTTTGGTTAAGTTATTTGCTTGTTTTGAATCATTTACTCAGTTCAACTCATAGTGATGAATTCATATTAATTGTTTTAATATTAGGCGTAGTGATGATAAAATAATTGTTATGTTTCGTTCAACAAATTAATAATTATTGAGTTTTCTTGTACTAATGTTGAAGTACTTATTTGAATATAAGTATTTTGTTGTATTCTTCCTTTGGATTACATGTACATATATATATATATATATATATATATATATATATATATATATATTGGTCCTAATGAGGACTTGAGTTTGGTTGTTCATGTTATCCAAAGCCTTCAATTGTTTTGGTTTTCATTTGATTTGTATTTGTTAATTCAATTTTTAAAACATTTTTGCTTAATCTTCCTTGGTCCCGTTTCTTGAAAAAATTTAGATGGTATTTGTATGTCAACTTGTTTTTGTGAGTTTTGGATTGCTATTTTTTCTTTTTTCTTTCTCCATTGTATTTATTTTTTGAAAGTTCGTTCATCTCGAGAAACTCGAGTCCATGAAAGGAAAGTATTAACAAAAATGTTATAATGTTATAAAAAGAATAAGTGTCTTCTTTCTTACAATGCAAAATGCTGCAAGGTTATTCCTTTCGTGCTTGATTCATGTGGATTACAAAATGATAATTATATATATATAAACAATTATATTTTAGTGGTAATCAAAGGATTGTTAGGTTTCGTTCAATAAATTAACAATTATTGAGTTTTCTTGTGCTTGATCCATATAGATTACAAAATGATATATATATATAATTGATTAGAATCTAAATTTTAGAATATATCTTAATATACATGGTTTTGAGTTTAAAGCCCAAGAAGCGAAATAAGATATCTTTTGATACATGATGATCATTTAAAATATTTGAACGTGAAAATATATGAGAATTACTTTATTGAGATTTCTCTACATAGAATGATTATAGATAGAAGTGTGATAAAATTAAAAAAATATTTAATACAAGTAACAAAAATGCAAATTAAAAATAGAAGCTCATTTGTGATATAAATGACATATGAATTTATATTTTCATGTTCTTTGCTTTACATTGAAAAATATCAAATCAAATAAATTATAATTTATCAACTTAATCACTGATAAAATAATTTTTAATTTTTTTTATTATAATCTTATTAATAACTTAGATTTACAACACGTGCATCTGCACGTGCTTTTTTGCTAGTGTGTGTGTGTATGTATATATATATATATATGAATAACGAGTTTTATAATAATAGGATGGTGGGCGGTAGTTGTGGGGTGACGGTTACGATGGTAGGTGAGACTTTACAAGCATTTTTAGAGAGAAAAATAAGACAAGAGAGGTTTTTTTCCGCAACCAAACATGAGAATGAGAATGGTCATTCTATTTCCATTTTATTTCATTCAACCACACCAAACTAGTCCTTAGAAATATAATTACCACATATAAGCACTTTACCTTTACCTCACATATGTGATGTGGAATTGTACCATCTTTAGTTCATCTAATGTCTCTTGCACTCGCCCCACATCACTCTCACCACATGGGTCGCCACACAAACCCTTGTACTCAATCCAACGTCAAACACCACGACTTGAACTTAAATTTATGTTTTAAGTTAAACTCATAGTAAACTGTTTACTTCATTTAGTTGGAGGATGAAAAAATGAATGAAAAAGAAAATGAGAGGGATGAATGCATGGCATCCCTAGTGAGGAAGATGTTTATCTATTTTTTTATTTGGTTGAATAGAATGGATAGTATAAAATATAGATGGAATGAGATTTTTTTATTTTTTATTTGATTAGAAGGAATTGAAAAAGGGTTTTAATATTTTTTTTTACCAACACAACCTCATCCAATAAAATTATAAAAGGCATATATCCATTTCAAATCGTTTGAAAATGTTAAAATTATAAATTATATACTTATGGGTAGTCATCCTTTCTTTACTTCTTTTCCCCCAAATTTGGCAGGAGGGATGAAGTCTTTACTTTTTCTCTCTGACATTTCTTTCAACTAAACACAAAAAAAATTCATCCGCCCCTCCTCTTATCCATTCCCCTCCATCATTCCCTCTAACCAAACCTCGCATTATGAATCACAAACAAGTTTTTGATTTTTTTTAAAGTTGTAATTGTTGGGAAACGTGCTAGTTTTAAAAACTTTTCAAGGGATTTAAATTCATAGATCTTGATTCATCACATAGAGACAAGTTTTATGCAAAAAATAAAATAAAATATGATGTATTATTCAACTAAAAGATTGAATACTTACATCAAGGTTTGAGTAAACCTCAGATCTCTCCTCTAAAGTGAATGTTCTCACTTATTGTAGATCCCTTTTGCTAGACATCTTTTCCATGGATCTCCATCTTCTTGGTAATGGTCTTGCCTTTAGGAATCACTCATAAGCCTCCTTGAATGACCTTGGAAAACTAGGCTTGTGGGAGCCTCCATTAGATGAGAACATAAACCCTAATTTTCTAGAGAGAGAAAATTTATTCCTTTTTCCTTCTCATAAAAATCACCCCCTAAAATATACATAGACCATGTATATTTATAGGTAACATAAAAATAAAGAAAAGGAAACAACAAATCCTTTTCCATCTCTAATTCATATGTCTCAAATCTAATATGATTCCAATATCAAGTTGGGCTATGAGTGAGAATCCATTGGGCCTATTATTTTATTGGCTACAATGAATTAATAATTGGCCCGGTCCATGTACCCAATTCAATTAATTCATAAATTAATTTCTACTCCACTAAAAGAAATTAATTGAACTCCAATTAAATAATAAATAACCTCTAAGTCAATATTGCACTTTGACCCCTCTATGCATAATTAGTTATCGGATAAATATAGCCATCAATCCGACTACTTAATTAATATATTTATTTTGGTACCTTTGATTATTTCTGGCTCGATCACAATAAAACATTTGTTTGACAAAAATAATAATTTAAATAAATAAATATATAATAAATCATTTTGTCTAAAAACATACGAAGGCCTTCGAATTTACTTTGTGATCAACCATAATCAATACAAAATAAATACAAGTAGCAATGATGCAAATATTGAAAATATAACCCTCTAACTATTAATTACATAACTACCCAAAGTGTCGGTCTAAGGATCCCGAAGAATCCGCCGAACAAATCAAAGTAATTATTAATTAATAAAAGAGTCTATACTTTTCTCATGTTTAAGAGTCAAATGTCATGACGGTGATAGGGAGTAATTGCATACGACGGCTCTCGCAATATATCTCAACCTAACGCGGATCCAGTTCAAGTCTTAATTAATTATGAGTCCATCCATAATTACCGACTATGAACAATATATAATTACTATTTATATATAATGCATTGATTGTCATCACATACATATATATAAATATTTCTTGTAATTAACTGGATACTATCAATTTCATAGTGAATTGAAACATAATACATTAAATTTACCAATTATATAAATCATAAATATTTCAGATATGTCAGGAACATATGTCAATACAATCCAGATAAGAATTTGCTATGCCAGGGCATATAAATTCCAATAGTAATGACATCCACTACTGCTCTCACAGTGTTAGAAATGTCATGAAATTTGATTATTTTTTAATCAATTTAACTGCTTGACGTGGGTAGCAACCCATATCGCGATAGCAATTGTTTGATGTGACTGGAGACATTATGATGTGGGACTAAAAGTTACAAGATATAATGCTTTCAATAGAATTTTTATATATTTTTTACTAATATATTCCCACCGTAGACAATAATAATTGATAAATATTCATCTAAATTTCTTTGGAAAAGTTAAAATTAAAAATTATATATTTATATCTAATTATTTATTTTCTCTCTCTCCCTCCCCCAAAATTGTGCGGACGGAGGAGGAATGGGATGATAATCCCTCCATGCTTCTTCCTTCTGGTCCTTTCCCTTAAATTAAACAGGAAGCTTTATCCATCACTCTTCCTCAATTATTTCCTCCGACCAAACATTCCATGAGCTAAAGGATACTTTAGATGCGGACGTGAGTATTTTATTTTTTATTTAATTAGCCATTAAAGTAGCACACACCGTTTCACATGTAGCGCGAGTCACGTGAATGTGGGCGTGCTGTTAATTGAACTATCTTCTCCCTCTAACCTCCTAAAATCCCGTGAATCTCAGGACTCTTACCAGAAATAAATATTTGAAAAAACGGATAAATTTAGAAATCAAGTAGTAAATGGGTTAGTACGAATAATTTTTATTTCTCACTCACTCACTCACACACTTTCTATTTACATGCATAATCATCATCCGTGTCTCTCGGAAGAGTTCAAAATCAGTAACGCAAATCACAATTTCCATTGTTTCGTTGCTATTTTTCCTGATTTTTCTGCAACATTCAACTAACACTAACTCCGATTTTCCCTCTTTCCCTCTCGTCTCAACAGCTACGCGTGCTTCGTTGCCATTTGCCAACAATAGAACCACAAAAAGCACTTCATTTATTGTTTTGGACTGTTTTGATTCCGAGACCAATCTGTGGCTGTGCTGTATTTTCTTCCCTGGGGTGGCTCCGTGAAGCAGCTGCGGTGCCATCTCTGTTGCGACAGAGCGTGAGTCGAAATGACTAGTAGGGATGCGTCCATGAAACCGCCGCCGGTGATGGGTCAGCTACGCGACGTCGAGTCCGGCGACGGTGCTAGCTGTTGGGCCCACGAGGACGATTCTTCGGACCCTTTCGACATTGCTAACCCCAAGAACACGTCCCACGACACGCTTAGGAGATGGAGGGTAAGATTTTCAGTACAATTGAATATGTCATTTGTTGTTTCTTGTGTGTATCTCTCACCTGCAAATGTTGCATGTACTGTACATCAAACAATGTAATGAGTAATTTTTTGGATTTGAATGAAATTGGTCTCTTTTAATTTTTTGAATTGCGATGTGGTTGAAATGCTTATTGGTTATTTCAGCATTTCCATTTATAAAGTGCACATTTGCATAAGTGCATCCAATGTTGTCTGAGAAATTATTACTGCAAATTCATTGTCGATATATCGACTGAGAAAAGCCCATTGTTCGGAAAATGAAACAGAATGCCGAGGAGTTTAACAGTATGGCGCTTGTGATGATCTGTTGACACTGTTCGGAATAGATATTAGGAGGCTTTCTCTGTCAGCCGTAGATCTTAACTATTGAATAGTAAAGTGACTTTCAACATATTTGGCTTTTGAAATAAAATGAGATTACACCCTAATTGAAGCAATAACATATTTTAACAAAATTAGAAGTTGGGGAAGGCACTGCAGTAATGCCTGCATATTTCAGTTTAGACCCCATATTTTTTATTTTCTTTGAAAAAGTAGTGCTCATAAACCCACCTGAATGGGAAAAATATTTGTCAACTTCAACCCAGCTTTGATCTGCAGTCAGGTCCGCTACATGAATATTATTTTTCTAGTGAAATCTATTCAGAGCCTTTTGAACTTTCTTTGGCCAAACTAAAAAGCTTTTGCCACTGTAGACTGTAGTATATAGTTTGTATCTCCTAGGTTTAGCGGTTAAACCTAAAATGTCCAACTTGAGCTTGTTGCCTTCCTATTCGTGTTGCGTGATCTGGAGTTGAATTTGATCTACCTAATCAACGGTATTTATTATTTATATTAAAATTAATATATTATTATTCAAAAAGGAAAGAAAATGCTATTAAGGTTAGCTTAGCAGGAGCTGGGTCTTGAGTGCCTATTCTTTTCCCCTCCATCAATAATTGGCCTGGACTTCGAAAGTAATTATGAAAATGGATAACCAGATAGCAGACTCTGCAACTGCCACATCTGGTGGCTTAAAATGGAACGTGTGGGCTAGGGCACGAGTTTGCTTGAATCTGGGTCATATATTTTAGATCCCAAACTCATTCACATGCTATGGGAAAGTCTGTCCTGGACTTCCGGCTCGTATTTATTCTAAGTCTCTAAGTGGTATTGTTATTGCATTGTAATGTATTGGAGTGGAATTTTTTTTACCCATTCTTGATGCTAGGTTCTATGTTGTCGGGTTCTTTTGGAAGTAATAATATGAGGATAATGCAAGGTTTTATACTGCAACCTCTCTTTCTTGAGTTACCAATTGAGAGCATCGGCCTTTTTGTTTAGTTTAAGTTCTACGATTGATAGTGGGTTGGTGGCAATGATGGGGGCAAGAAAAGCAACCTAAAAGTGGATAGAACAGTCAACAAAATGTATATAGGAGAGTCCAGGTGTCAAGGTGGCTAGGATACCAAGTCTATGACCCTGGGGATCTTGCATAGTTATTTTGGTAGGACTAAATAAGTTTGCTATCTGAATGAATGCAGAGACTCTGTGCCCTCAGTGAGGTACGAGGTAAGGTGTTATTGGGTCATAGATGGTTGTATGCTTGTAGTGTGGATCACATCTTCGGTGACATTTGCTTGAAGATAAGTTGCAAACTATTTTGTTCTCAGGTTATATGAATGCTTAACAGAAAATTAAGTACTTCTATTAGACACGAGACATGATACAAATCGTGCATGACTCATCCGTTTGCCAAGCATTACAAGTTTAAAAGTGAAGAAAAGAACATTTTCTTATATAACAAAGAACTTCTAAATATATTACCTTAATTGGCTTCTACTGCTACATGAATATTTCAAAACGAGTGATGATATCATGTTTTGATATAGTATGTCAATTGTCATATACTAAAACTGTTTGCTTACAATAAATAAAAAGAATTATTAGAACTTTGATTGTTCAATTGTGTCTTACGCCCCATGATTGGAAGATTCAATGAATTTGATCGCTGAAGCTTAGATAAGCATCCACTTTACATGCTATTTGAGTTTATATAACGTAGCCCTTTGCAAGGTTATTGTGGCAATAGTTGCTATTAACGAGCAGGAATTGCTTACTTGTCTCCCAATCCTTTTATTCAGGTTTGGAGTCAAATATCCCTAGGTTATTCCATAAGCTATTGTGGGGTACTCGTGGTTCTTGAACAATGAGAAATAAACCACTTGGAGCTTTTGGGTCCTAATCTTAGCCTATGTAATGTACATATCTTCTTCATATAACCCTTTGGTGGCCTTAGTTAGAGATATACAACATTGGGCATTAGCCCAGAGGCAAGTATGCATTGCTACATAAACTTTTGATACAACTGACATACGAATTTCTTTTAGTGATGTCACTTATTTAAATGGATTTGTTGAGTATGGGTATGTTTCTAGGTTCTAGAGTATGGATATCGTGACTATCGTCACTTATTTACATAGGGTCTTGTTCTTTCTAGGTAGGTAGGGCACATATATATTGTTGAAGTTTCTAGTTTTTTCTTCTTCTATACCCTTATGTTACATGAACTCTTTTAAATGTGTGATTATACTTGTTGGGTGCACGAACCTGAGTATGGATATACATTGACAAGCGTGATTATTCCTTTTTTACTTCTTTCCTTAGTGGTTTGACTACACAAACCTGGTCAATATTATAAACCAAATGTACAAAGCATCTCCATTTCACAAGTTTTGATCATTTAATTGGCTGTTTGTCTTTTCAGTCATTCTGAATCGCTTAAACCTACCGATATTGACACATATCTTTTCAGTTCCTTTTCCTCTTTGGCGCAGTTATGTAGGAAATATATACATTTTTAGTTGTGTAATATAAAGGTAATACTTCATTTAAGGCAGGTCTTGAATATGTTTCTCTACTCGGGGACAGCCCTAGTCGTTCATATTCGTGCGTACAGCCTATTAGATATAAGGATAGAGCAGGGAATAGGAGAAATTTTGGACTTATTTTGTAATATTTGTTAAATTCGGCTTTTAAATTTTATAGAATTGTTATTGAACTAAAGAAGATGCACCTAAATTGGGATTTTAAATTCTGTAAATTTTGATTGCACTAAAGAAGAAGATGTACCAACACTTCTACAAAGAAAAAGAAGGTTCAGTCTTCTATAACAGTTCCTAATGATTGCGGTAATTAGATCTTGGAAGTACTGACAGGTTTTGAGTTTGATGAGTTGATATGAAAGGAAGGCCAAAAAAAGAATGCTGGTCGAGGCTATGAGTAAAGTCAATTGCTAAGGTCCCATCTTTTCAACGGCTTCCAATGATTATGGTAGCTAGAAACACTAACAAGTTTTGAGTTTAAATGCGTTGACATAAAATGATGGCAAAAAGAAAATGGGTCGAGGCTATGAGTAAATCCAAATGACAAGTTCCCATATTCTGCAACAGTTCCTGATGATTCCGTAAGCTATAAGTACTGACATGGGTTAAGGCTATGAGTAAGGGCATGGTTGTTTATGAACTTGATGGCCAATATAGAGCAGAAATCTCATAAGGATTTTGTCCAGAACCCATCCCCATGTAATTGACCGAGGTTCCGCTGAGTTGATTTTTACTGGGAAACACTTCTCATCAATTTATATTTGTCTTCTTACAGTTAACTAATCCATTCTAATAAAAATTTAAACTTTGAAATACTTCTTTGTTAATTTCAAATACTATGTCCCAATTTTTTATGGTATTAAATGACTTCAACTCTTTACATTGATTTCTAGTTATTCTGTGTTGAGATTCTACAAGGACTTCAATTTTGAGATATGAGTAATTAGCAAGCTTCACCTTTCTTAGTTATAGGGTTTTGATATGATAGCTATTCTCTGTTGAAACTTGTATCAAGGCCATATGAATTTTGTCTCCATCATGCTAGAGGCTATATTTTGGTTTGTGAGAAGTACAAATGTCATGCCATTTATTCTTGATACCTGTTCTATTTAGTTAAGTATGTATGCTGTTTGTCTTTTGCTTTGTTGAAGCTACCTCTGTTGAAATTATTATTATTATATGCACTGTGTTTCGATGATTTATTGTGTATTGGGTTATTAATTCTTAATGCTTTACTTGAACTAAATGGATTTTTGGTTTTTTACAGCAAGCAGCACTTGTTCTTAATGCTTCTCGTCGTTTTCGGTACACATTGGATTTAAAAAAGGAAGAAGAGAAAGAACAACGAAGAAGCATGATCAGAGCACATGCACAAGTCATAAGAGTAATGTTATATATGTTCAAGGACATTTCTTCTGTGAATCTTATATTGTTTTATCATTTCCTAATTCTTGATTATGTGTTTTATTAGGCAGCATTGCTTTTCAAATTGGCTGGGCAACGGGCAATTGGTATTACTCTGGAAATTTCTTTTTGGTTGCTTTTTGTTTAGTGTTGAGCAAATTGTCCTTTGGTTTTTATTTAGACAGGGAAGTGATTTCTCTTAAATCTTACGTGCCGCAAAAGATACTCATTTAAGCATATCAACAGATATTTTTCTTATTTTTGGAGATAATCAGTCAATTAGTCTGACAAATTGAAAATGGTAATGAATCCGAATTCAAGAGAATTTTTTATGAGCAGAGGAGGAGAGAGGGGGCTCTAATGCGCATATATAGCAAATAGTGTTCTATTGAGGGTTAGAATGATAAATCAGAAAGTAGGGCTTTGAGAGTGTACTTATTGATGCTTAAGATGGTCTTCTAAACTTAGGTTTGGAATTATGTATGGTTTAAAATTAATTATGATTATACTCGATTCTTTTCCTTAATCAGTACTTCTTTAATCTCCGTATGATATAATCTATATGTATTATATATAATCTAAGTGGGGCGTTGGATGTTCAGGATTTTCTTCCTATCAGTTTAGTGGGGAGTATCCACAGCCAAGGTCCTTGCTTCTAGATTGAGGAGAGTTTTGGATGGGGTCATCTCCGACTCTCAGAATGCTTTTGTTGGAGGCCGTCAGATTTTGGATTCAACCCTTATTCCTAGCGAACGTGTGGATTCTAGATTGTGTAGTGGGGTTCCTGGTGTTCTTTGTAAATTAGACATTGAGAAGGCATACGGCCATGTGAGTTGGAGCTTCTTTTTCTATCTGTTGAAGAGGATAGGGTTTGGTATGAGATGGAGGAGATGGATTCAGTTTTGTATTTCCAGTGCTTGCTTCTCAGATTATGTGAATGGAGCTCCGACAGTTTTTTTCTCTAGTTCGAGGGGCTTGATACGGGGGATCCGCTTTCGCCTTTTTTTATCCTTATTGTGATGGAGGTCCTTGTTAGATTGTTGAGGAGGGCTGTAGACTTGGGTTTTCTTAGAGGCTTTCGGGTGGGCATAGATGCTGCTAATCAGTTGGAGATCTTCCTCTTGATGTTCGCGGATGACACTTTAGTGTTTTGTAATGTGGATGTGTCCCAGATGAGATATGTGAGATGTGTTTTGATTTGGTTCCAAGTTGTGTTTGGGCTTAAGCTGAATGTGGGGATGAGCGTTTTGGTGCTGGTTGGGGAGGTCCCTAAGATCGCGTCATTAGCAGATATCCTTGGTTGTTGTATTGGCTCCTTTCCTATCTCTTATTTGGGTTTACCCTTTGGATCATCCTCGAAGTGTGTGGGGGGTTGGGATCTGGTTGTGGAAAGATTCAAGAGGAGACTGGCGGGATGAAAGAAGCAGTAACTCTCCAAGGGTGGAAGGGTCACTCTGATAAAGAGTACCCTTTCAAGCCTTCCCACTTATTTCCTCTCTCTGTTCTAGATTTCCTTTTCTATGGTTGAGAGGAAAATTTTCGGCCGCCTGGGCGGGGGGGAATTGGGGAGAAGTTCAAGTTGCATCTGATTAGCTGGGAGTAGGTGTGCAGGCCAATCTGGGTCGAATGCTTGGACTTTAAAAGGTTAGTGCCTTTCAATAAGGCTCTCCTTGGGAAGTGGCTTTGGAGATTTGGGGTGAAGAGGCATAGGCTTTGGAGGAGGGTGGTAGCGAGTAGATTTGGGGAGAGGAGAGAAGGGGGGAGCTCTCTTGAGGTGCGTATTCCATGGGGTGTGGAGGTATGGAAATTCATTCGGAAGGCTTAGGGAAGGTAGTAGGATCAGTTTCTGGGAGGACGTTTGGTGTGGGGATTGACCTTTTGCTCTTGCTTTCTCTCGACTCTTCAGGATTGCCACGGATAAGCAGACCATGGTGGTCAATTGCTATCAGCTTGATAGAGGGAAATCATCTTGGGATGTTCGCTTCAGGAAGCACTTTCAGGATTGAGGATGCCATTGGTTTTTTGGAGTGGCTGTATCGCCAGGAGATCACGGGTGGAGATTCTGATGGTTGGGTGTGGGTTCTTGCTTCTTAGGGTTGTTTCAATGTTCGATCCTTCTATAGGTCTCACGGAGGAGCCAGGGGCTCCTTTCCCGTGGAAGGTTGTTTGGCACTCCAAGGCCCCCTCAAGGTGGCCTTTTTTGCTTAGACGTTTGTTTTGGGGAAGATTTTGACACAGGATAATTTGAGGAGAAAGAATCAGGTTGTGGTCAACTGTTGCTGCATGTGCCTTTGTGATGAGGAGACGGTGGATCACCTCCTTTTGCACTGCACCATGGCCATGGATTGTTGGGATTTGATGCTTGGTTTGTTTGGGGTTCAGTGGTCATGTCCAGATAATCCAAAGGGTTGATTGAGTCTTGGAGAGGTTGTACAGCGGGGACCAAGTCTGGGATGCTTGGAGGGTTTCGCCCTTGTGTGTCTGGTGGTGTATTTGGCTCAAGAGGAATAAGAGATCTTTTGAAGGAAAGGAGAATCCTATTTCTATGCTTAAGTTCTCTATTATCTCCACTCTTTTTTGTAGAGTTGGTTTGTAGGGATAAATTATAGATCTTTAGAGGAGATTGTTGATTTTTTGGACGCTTTGAAAGTTTAGAGGCCCTATTTGGCCTTGTGTAGTTCTCTTGGGCTTCGCTTTCCTTTTGAGCGCTTCTATACAATTGTCTTACTTATATATATATATATATATATATATATATATATATATATATATAAAATAAGTATCTTAATATAGAAGGTTCTTTCACTTTTGGTGGAAATAGAATGTATGCTGAAACATTAATTAAGAAAAAAACATCACAAGGTGCTGCTACAGGCAATACAGGATGCAAAAAGGATAGACTAGTGTTGACGCTAAAATCGGCTGACTAGAGCCTATCCTAAATTGATCTGTTGCGGGCGTGCCAGAACCAATAATGTGGTTCGAGTGTAAATTGTCAACTAAAGTCTCTTTGAGAACGTTGACTTTCAGCCGATGCGAAGAGAAAGAGAACAATAAAACTCCTCTTATGAGTTCATGAGTGAATAATATAGTAACAATTTGAGAATAGAAAGGGGAGAAAATATAGATATAGAAAGTGATAGGGAGAAAGATAGAGAGAGAGAGAGAGAGATAGAGGGAGAGAAATAGATCGAGACAGAGAGAATGAGATAGAGGGGAAGAGAGAGAGAGAAATAGCAAGGATGCTATATGGGGAAGGAGCTTGAGAAAGCAACAATAATAATAAAAGATTCTGAGGGTGCTGGACCTCTATCACAGCATGCCTCTACAATTATGTATAGAAAAATACGTAAACCAACTCATACACATAGTATTTCACTTACATTACAACTTTATAACCCAACTAACTATAAATTTGAATTAAACTAATCTATGGATAACCGCTAGTATTTAACTAAAATCAACTAAAAGATAAATGCTAGCTCTTGATCCCTATCCATTAGCTAATTCAAAGGCGTCTCCAATCTTTATCACTCTTACATGAAATTCAAACTCTAATCCACGTGAAAAATACCATCCACCTGTAGTTCAAACACTGCCACGTCACTACCCATTCAATTTTACCAAAAAGGGTGTCAACAACTGGTTGCACACTTAACCTTGGCATCCTTTGAGAAAGTGGCTTGCCTCAAACTTGGATTGCACTTGACATCCTAAGCTTTTATCATTGCTCCAAATAAGGGTCTTAAACTTGAAAGTGATGTATCTATATACCTGCTCACCATGTGGATATATTTTTCCATGGTGTATTGTGGTAATATTGGTGTTTCCATATGCATTGGTATTCTAAAATTAAGAAAAATATCAATTCCTTTTTTTATCTTTCTTGGAATTGTTTAATAATTTATGGCTCTTGGGCAAAAATATGTACTTGTATTATCGCCTCATACATTGTTTTTGTGTTCATTGCATATCTGCTTAAAGGTATTAGTCATTTGTCAATGCTCGGTGTTTGGCGTTGAAGGTGGACAACAAATGTAACAACCCTCACCTTATCCAGACACAATATTGTCCACTTTTAGCTCCCCTGGACCTGAGACTTCCCAGGGGGTCATCTCATCCATCCTGGTACTACTCAAGGTTAAGCATGCTTAATTCTAGAGTTCTGGTTGGTTCACAGCCATCGCGTCTTTAAAACGTGTCGTGTCATAAAAGGGTGTTGAATCTACATATAGCACTTGCCCCTCCCCACCTAGGCGATATGGGATTGTGCACCTGTAGCTCGCTTAATGTGGTAGCCTACTGGTGCCACCTTCACACGCTTGCACACACCTGCCCATAAGATTGCCATAATCACCCCCCTTTGGGACCAACGTCCTCGTTGGGTGCACTTCCGGCTAGGTCGGGCTCTGATACCATTTGTAGCAACCCTCACCCTAGCCAGACACAATATTGTCCGCTTTAAACTCTCCCGGACCAGAGACTTCCCTAGGGGTCATCCATTTTGGTACTACTCCAGGTTAAATACGCTTAACTCTGAAGTTCTGGTGGGTTCACGACCATCATGGCTTTAAAACGCATTGTGTCATAGAAGGGTGTTAAATCAACATATAGCACTTGCCCCATTCACACCCAGGCGATGTGAGATTGTGCACGTGTAGCTTGCCCAGTGTGGTAGCCTACTGGTGCCACCTGCACACGCATACACATACCCGTCTACAAGGTCGCCACAATAAATATGGCTTAAGATTAGTACGAAGGGTGGACACGTTATTTTTGTCCCTTGTAGTTCTTCCTACAAGTGTTCCAACTTCCAAAATCTAATTGTGTTCTTCTGGTTGGAACATATGTTAACTTTAGGCAATTTCTACCACTCCTAAATTTTTTCTAGTTGTGTTATAGGTGTTCAGAATAATAGTGCAATAGCTAGAATTGCTTTAGTGAAAAATTGAGAATGGATGAGAGAAGAAGATAATTTGGGAAATTTTCACCACACTAAAGTGATTGTGTTCTATTGTGTATTTGTAGTTACAACAATAAGAGAGAGATGGAGAGATTTTCTCAACAAGCTCATCTGTTTATTGTTTCAAAAATAAGATAGAGATAA